GGCCTTGGTGGGTTCTCCTTCCTCCCTGGGGACTTTCTGCGTCATTACAGAACCCTCCTCAGGAGATTTTGCCCTGGAGCGTGTTCCTGATTTGCTCCCTGCCCTGCCCGTCGCTCCCCCCAGGCATTCCCCCCTCCCTCCCTCAGCCGCACAGCCGCCCTGCGAGGTGGGTCGACCGAGGGGCAGCGCCAGGCCAGAGCTCTTCATCAAAAAGGTAGGTTAAGGCAAGGCAAAGCAGGGCCCCTTCCCCACTTCCATCCCGTCCTGGAGTCTCTTCTTTGAGGACCAGCAGATTTTAGCCCCTCGGTAGTGCCAGGCACACACTTGCATATGTGTGTCTGCACACATGCCCTCCCCAAGCCTTCCCTAGCGCACGCTTGCTTGCGCACATTTGCACCTGAAAGCCACCCCAAGGGCGGGTCAGTTGCCCTTTGACACGCGGGCCCCGGCTGGCTGGCGGCCGTGAAAAGCTTCAAAGCATGTTTGGGGGAAGGAAAATTAATAGCATCTTGTTGTGGGCCAGTTGCTGTCGGAAGATGGGTTGGTTTCTGCAGCAGCGGGAGAAGCAGGAGGAGGGCAGGAAAGCAAGGCCCCCACTCTCAGCCCTCCTTCCACGCCCTCAGCATGCACACGTGTGTGTGGGCGTGCGTGTGCTGGCACTTGCCTAGGATTCACTGTTCTCCTGCTGTCGTTCACACACATTCCTGTCCCGGAAGCCCCCTGAAGCACACTCCCCTTTTGGAATTCTGAATAAAAAAAAATAATGTTTAGAAAGCAAATATATACAGCACACACAAAATAAACATATTCCACTGGGAAATTTTAAAGATAGGAAGAGAGAGAGAAAAATCTGTCATGGAGCTGATCTGAGGCACCATTCCCTCTCTTCGGTTGGTGACATTTACTTCCAGAAAGTGACCATCTTGGAGCGACCTCATTTTTACCTAAGTTTAAACCACGGCCCAAACTTTACCCTGGGGCGACTTTTGAAGTGCACCATCGCAACTCTTCCCATTCTATTTGTAACATTTGGCAATAGACAAGATCCATAATTCCGGGTACATTAAATATGTACGATTTCAAACATATGTAAATTCGCATTGTTAGCAAAACATCTGTTTCAGGATTGCTTGTTAACGCTGTTTTCGAGAAACAATTATGTGGGTAATATTCTCATTACGCCAGTTCCTATTAAGGGATTCTAATTATTAGTTACAGTTTTATCTTACTGACCTAAGACCTCCAAGGACTTAATATGAGTCCATTAAAAGACATATACGGGTTCCATATTTGCTAGACCGACACAAAGACGGTGCAGTTTAGGGCACCCTCGCAGGATCCCTGGGGGAGTCCTGGGCACTGGGGACCCTGGGTGCTCTCTGACCAGCAGGGCACTGCTTTTGGGGGAGGGGGAGGTCGAGCCTTCCTGGGGGCTGGACGCCTCCTGGCCGTGGATGGGAGGACCTGGCAGCCCTGGCCGGCTACTCCCCTTTTGGACCCACGGACAGAAGGAAGGTCACGAAGGAGGACGGCACTTATGCAAGGGGACTGTTTCCAGCAAGGATGCTCAGCGCTGGATGTCTCAGCGAGAAAGTTGTTGACGTCAGAAGACGTCTTTCACTCTCCGGGCCGGAGAGCTTCCCGCCTGCTGATCTGGCAGCTCTGAGAGGGTTGGACTAAATGTCCTCCAGGTCTCTTCTGGCTTCGCAACCCCGCGTGACCAAGGTTGGAAACTGATCTGGGAGAGGACCAGAAACAGCTGCTGCAAGGGAAAGACCCCAGGAATGGAGGGGCTGAAGCCACTTTCCTGAACAGCCCTTGATGATTTGAGAGCCATCCAGGAAAGCTTCAGCGCAGACAACCGAAAGCGCTTCATTGCATGGCACATTCATTGACACGTGATGCGGTGGTGCCACTAACCTGGCCAGCGTCAAAAGGGGACTGAATACACTCACTGACAGGCCAAGCAAGGGTTTTGGGTGGTACCTCCAAGGGGCGGCACTAGGCTTCCAAATACCAGGGCGATGGAGGGGGAGTGCTCCTCCAGCCCCGGCTTGGGTGCTCGCCAGCGGCTGCAGAAACAAAAGCTGGACTAGATGAGTCTTGGCCTATTCCAGATGGCTCTTCCTCTGATCTCGAATTGCAGATCCTCTTCCCAAACAAGGGAAGTCCATTGGCTGATTCCAAGCTAGCCTGAGTCTAAGGTCACTCTTGGGCCCCGAGGAGGCTCCGGTCCCTTCCCCTCGCTGCCCACGGCCCACCCTCTTCCCCTCCATTTGTCTCGCCCCCTCTGACGCTGGAGAGCGTCACTCACCTGGTGCCTCACCACCACATCAGGCCCTGGGAAGTACCTGGCAGACTCTCCTGGCAGAGGCCGGGGACTCTAAGGATCGCTGCGTTTCCCAGGGCTCCCCCTACCTGCCTTTCCGTTACTGGAGCACCAGGAAGGAGGGCAGGAGCAACCCTCCCCTTCCGCCCGAGACCAGCTTTCCTCCACACGGGAGACCAGGAAGGCGTGCATTTCTGTAACGGTATGTGGGAATGACCTTGGGAGACGGGGCGGATGGGGAAGGGGGAAGAGATACTGCATAGGGAAGGATCAGATAAGAGGGGGCACAGCCCACAGCTGCATAATGGACAGAGAAAGAAAGGAACCTCCCTCACTTATCAGGCTATAAAAGAGACAGCAGGAGAACTCTACTTCCAGACTCGCATGATTCTGTTAATGGAGCCTTACAATAAAGTTGAATTAGCTCATCTGGTCGTGGTTCCTGTCTGGTCTACCTGGGAAGGCTGACAATTTCTGAGTCCCATGATTTGTCTGCATCAGGAATTAGCTGGTTGGGCAAAGGAAGGCGAACGGGGCAGAGCTGTGTGGAGGGAGGGTTACCCTCAGCCAACACCGGATAGATGCATGATGTTCACACCTGGAGGAGTGCAAGGACGGATTCCTAAAGGGGGGGGGTCCAGGTTGGGGCTCTTGTGATGCTCTGAATGTCCTGAGCTGTGGTTCGGGTCCAGGCTGCGAGAGGCTGTGCCCGAGGCAAGGGGCCGTTCAGCCCAGGGACCCCTCAGCCCTGCCATGTCCTCCCTCCCTCCCTCCCTCTCTCCCTCTGCCAGAGCTTAGGAGCACCAGCCATAGGAAATGTTGCTCCTGAGCTGGGGGGGGGGCGGCCTTGCAAAGCAGGTCAGGAGGCAGGTGGTGTCCCCCACTCAGTTGCCACCATGGTCGAAATCAAGGCTTACCCAGGAGAGCGTCCGAGACCGATTTCCTTAATGAGGCCGTGATGGGGCGGGAGAGACAGGAAAATCCAACTCCTCAAGGGAGCGTGTAAGAGAAGGCTGTTCCCGGGGACAGGTTAAAACAGTCCTCATTTTAAAACCCAGGTGGATTTTAATTTCAGGAACTGGAGCCTTGACATTTGCAGGGTGCAGATGAGGACATGGAAACGGTGCCACCCAGCCTACTTTCACGCGTTAGAGACCATCATCTATTCTTGTCTCTTTTTAACTTGAGGAAGCATCAAAGCCTCGGACAGAGCCCTGAGTGCGGATGGCGTTGCCTTTAGCCTGATTATTTGAGCATGGCTTTTTCAGCATGGCTTCGTGGTGGCATGGCAGCAGACGCCGCGTCTTTTGACCAGAACTGCATGTAATCGTTTTGTTTCAAGCCTTAGCAGCCTTGTCTTGCAACACCTTTTCTTCAGTCTCCAGGCACATACCTGCCCTCCATTAATATTTTTTTAATACAACGGCAGGCACCCGTGAGGTTACGCTGCTCCGCTTTCTCAACAGAGCCAGGTTTCAAAATCTCAATTCAAGGGTGACACAAGGGGAGCTTTGGGGATGATTTCGTTCTGGAAATGCCGCGTCCCCCTCCCAGCCCGCCTTCTCGCTTTATCTCCCGCTGCTCCCCCCCCCGCCTGGCGGTCCAGTTCTGTGCCAGCCCCTTGGCTGGGCTAGACAGCCTCTGTCTGGGGGTGGGGTGCAAGTGGGCTGCTTGAATGAACGTAAAATAAATCAACTAGGGGGCCTGGGGGGTGTGTGGAGGACAGACCGAATAGGAGCCCACAACTTCTGGGTTCAACATGGATCCCGCAGTCAGAGTTTTAACATTGCCCCTCTGTGGGGGTCATTGACTGTTGCCTAAGGAGTATTTATCAAGCCCTGGCTTTCACCTTTGATCTTGCTGAC